GCACACACACCTGGCCGTGACAGTCTGGCCAATGAGGCGTGGACGTCCAAGCAGTCTCTCTCCTGTGGAATGAATATCTGGAAGATCTGGAAGTCCTTACAGCGAAGGATCAGCTGACCTCCTGAGGGGGTGGGCGGCCTCTCCACGCTGCTCACCATGCTGTGCAATACCTGTAACACACACACACAGTTACTTCCTGTAGACCTGCATCACCAAGCACAGCACATTACTGTAAAGCACACCCATCATGGAGATGAGCAGCCCGCCGTGGCCTTGTTAGCGTAGCCTCTCAGATTTCCTAACATGAAGTGCCCGGCCCACAGGAAGTACAGCTGTGCTGTGTTCTTCTCCTCATTCCTTGTTTATACCTCACAGCGCTGGGATAGGACTGATCATTTTGGGCTGCTGGGGTCACAAACCTCATGAAACGTTGCTCCAGCTCTGCCTCTGATAGGCCGGTGCGCCTCTGTGGTGGTTGGAGGAGAAGCTGCGTTCACTGTCGGCCGTTTGTGTTTGTATTCATAGTTTCTTTGGTTTTTTGGACTATTTGGAGGGAAGAATTATGGGAATTCAACCAACATGAGATAAAAGACACACGTGTGGAGGTTGAGACCAACGCTGAACCATGACGTGAACTGGTTTGGGTCAGAGCCAATCAGACGCAGCATAGTTTTAATGAAGAACAAAATTAGGTGCTGTGCTGTGAAGGAGAGCTAATCTACACCTCGCTCTGACTCTGTCCTTTGTTTCTGCTAATCCAGCCAGCAGTCTGAGCCTGCTGAGTGAAATGTGACACGCCTGCATCTCTTCATCATCCACTCAGGTCCACGGGGACGAGGCGGACTCCTAAGAGGGGGGAGGGTGGCATCTTTTCTTCCCGTGTCTGGAAAACCACCCAGCCTGGAATTCTGTGAAAACACCGCACACCACTGATATCAGTGATCCCAGATGAAGCTGCGCCGCTCCTCATCACGATGAATGTGCAGCTAACAGCAGAGGAGACGAGGAGCTGCATAAACACAGATTATTATTTTTCTTTCACTGCTTCTGCTCAGACAGGATTCACCAAACTGGCAGGAAATATCTGCCTGCATGACAAATTCCTGCTTTTAAAACCGAAATATGAATCTGAATGAGAACTCTGTGCACAGCGTCTGAAAGCTGCACCTTTAATCTGAGCATAAAAACCTTTAATTCTCGCTTCCACTCTGAGGATCCATATTTAACCTCCTTCTTTCAGGGCTTTGTGATTAATATGAAGCTCTCCAGCAGCTTTCACTGTCAGATAAATGTTTCTCTGTGGATCACATTTCTGTCGTGTGCATCTCTGCAGCCCGACACACGCAGCTGGATAAATCCAGGCTCTACAGATGGAGTCCAAATTTATTCTCAGACTCCACATTTCTGGTATACTGGCTGATGCTTCAGCCTCTGAAACCTGCCTGCAGGGTTAACATCTCCACTTTTACAGCAGAACTAATCATGTTTACAGGCTGCTGCACAAACCTGTGTGGTCTTTGTGCTGTTGGAGCCTTTTTAATGCAATCATCTGAACAAGCAGCCAAGAAGTCTGAGTGAAATCAGGGTTTCACTGGGACGTTACTGAGCACTGACAGCAGCTGTGTGTTCGCTGGTATGATTTTCTAACCCGGCCAGCTAACGTTCTTTTATCCAAATATGGCGTCTTCCATCTGTGACGCGGCCTCCTGCAGCTCTCACTGCGTCCCGGCTTCGCCTCATACTAATCTTTTCTTTTCCTGTCCCGTTTGGTTCTTTAGCCGTCAGAATTGTTGTCTGAAGACCAACAAGGAGACCCGATGGATGCCTTGCCGTATTGGTCCATTTGATCGACCTTTGTTGTTATTATTTATTTTATTTTCAGTTGTTACAGACGGGACAGACATGACTGAGGGACAGGAAAGGGAGAAAGAAAGATGAAGGAAAAGAAAAACAGGAGGGAAGAGGGACAGTGAGAGAGGAAACTTATAAAGAGAAAGAAGAGAAAAAAATCTCCTGGATCAGCTGTAGAGAGAAAAAGAAAACAAGCAAAACAACAGAGCAACATACTAAACACAAAACCATCACGCTAATCTAGCTAAGTGTAAACAGCAGTAAATGCTAAATATTGAATGTTGTTGTGTAGCAAGCAGGACCGACAGCGCACAATGTGCTTGGAAATAGCACCAACAGTGTCTCATACTAATCTGAGAGCTCCACAGGTAACAATGTGGTCGTGGCTGAAGGCGGGTACGATTATTATTCAAGCTGTTGCAGGTTACCCATGTCTCCTTGCGCGTCTCCGGGTTGTTCTCCACAAAGATGGCGTGCGTGGCAGAGAGGTACAGAGTCCCGACGCTGGCCTTTCTCTGGCCTGACGACCGGTCCAGCAGACGGACGTTTTCCACCTGAACAAAGTCAGAGACGCACACGTCAACCACGTCCACTGATCAAAGCATCCTCTGTGTCTGCATGACGCTCTGTGCAATCCAGAGATTTTCCTCCAGATCACCTGAGAGGTGAGCATGTGCTCAAGCTTTAAATGCATTATTATTCACAAAAAGGCCAAAAACTGGGAAAATGCACAGACTGTCTCCTTGAACTACAGCCTGAAGGCCCGTTTAAGCCGCGTGATCTGCACAGTGGGTCTAAAACTGTGACATCCGGTGCAGAGCAGGTAAATCTGGTTGTGTACGCAGAGAAAAGCCCTTCGCAGCTAGCTTTTATTAATAAGTATTATATAAATATTTCCGTAGTGTCAGGCAGACTGTGTGAGGACCGCTAACTCTCCCCAACCCTCCATAAACAGATGATGATGATGATGATGATGCGTTTTAAAGGAGAAAGGAGTCATATGAGGAGGAAGATGGAGGTCAGCAGCGCAGTGCTGACTCATGCATGTGCAGATGTACTCGTGCTGATTATTAAGAATAATAATTAAGATGAAACTAACGGGCTGCGTGGGAGCACCCTTACAGCCACACGCGGCAGGTGTTTACGGCTAACGTCGGGGCTGTTTCCATTATCGGACACGCACTGTTAGCCTCTCACGTTCTGCTGGTCGCGCGCCGCCTCCGCTGCTCTTCATCATCATTTATTTTTTTTATTTTTTTTATTTATTTAAATATGATCTTACCTTCGGTGTCCGTATGTGCTCCATCACTGCCGGCTGACACAGCGGAGGTGGAGGAGGTGATGGAGACAGTGGCCCGACGTTTTCCTTTATCCTCGCCAGCGGTTAAATTCCCTGCTTCACGCCGACAGATGAGCCGTGTTCCCCGCTGCGACTGCTCCAGAGCTGCCCCGGAGCGACTCCCATGACTTCCGTCCCTGCGTGTCCCGGTTCGGTTAGCCTACACGACACAAAACCGAGTGCGTGTCACCGTAGACCGCCAGCACCCGAGCTCCCACCGCTTCTCCCGGCCGCTAACAGAGCCCCTTATAGCTGCTCCCGACACCACCATCACGTCAGCATTCATAACATCCGGTGATGCCTTTCAAAATAAAATGTAGACTAATACACGTTCCTTAACATTAGCAGCAGCGGCAGTCCATCTTTAATGAAAGGTGCTGTTTAAAAACTTTTATTCGTATAACTTTTACAACTTCTTAAAATATTAGTTTTGAATTTATTGATTTATGGTGAGATCAAAAGGAAACCTGCGGTTTATTTTGAAAGGTAAAAAGTGGGGTTTTTTTCTTATTTTGGTGAACTTGATTTACATATCGTGCCAGGCTCGTGCGCGCTAAACCGCAAGGGCGCGTGCGCAAACCTTACCTTGTATTTTGTTTGTTTGTTTGTTTGTTTCTGATGTAATGATCGTGTTTTTGTGTTTCCTTTATATAAATGTTTAGTATTTACTGCTGTGTCATATATTCAGACACTCCTGTCCTCATTTGTCTCTTTGTCACGCTACATTTCTCGCCTTATTTTGTAATTTTAATAACGTGTTTCTAAACACGAGTGGGTTTATATTGGGTGCGGTGGGGGGATGCGTTAATTCCTCAAACTGACGCTGTTTTATTAAAGTGAGTTTGATTTAATGCTGTTTAAATATTTGTGTACATGTTTCGACATCTTTGTGAGGACAGAAAGTTAGCACGCTACTACACCCGCGTGACCAAACGTCACTTATGGGGACAAAGTGCCCGTCCTCACGAGTTTGGAGACATTTATGAGGCTCAAAATGTGGTTTTAGAGTCAGGGTCACAGTTAATAATAATAATAATATTAAATGTAACCCTGGGTTATGGTTAAGATTAGGATTCATTTTTGATGGTTAGGGTGTGTGTGTGTGTGTGTGTGTGTGTGTGTGTGTGTGTGTGGTGTGTTGTGTGTGTGTGTGTTGTGTGTGTGTGGTGTGTGTGTGTGTGTGAGTCAGGTTCATTGACAACAGTGAAATGGGGTTATGATTTCATGTTATGAGCTTAGAACAGAAAAGAGCTGTTTACTGTGATCGTACATGTCGAACAACATTATGGCTGCTCTCTCTCTCTCTCTCTCTCTCTCTCTCCTGAGGGTATTACAGAGGTTGTGATTTCACGTCTTGAACCTCTGGCCTGGAAATGTTCTTTAAGGTCATTCAAGAAGCAGCTGAACTCGACGGTTTCAGATGTTTGAGCTGTCATTCAGAGCTGATAATTCATGAGTTCTTCATGAGTTCTTCAGGACGAGGAGCCGGAGGAGCCATCAGTGGCTTTGTTTCCTGAGACCTGGATGACATCAGTGAAAGTTTTGTGTGTTTGTGCTGAAAATCATCTCAGAGCCTCTCATCCGTCTGGCTGATGAAGGCCACTCACATTATTATAAATAATAACAAAGCGGATAGTCACTAAGCTCAGAGAGGAACCCCTCGACAAACTGACTGAAACAAAATCAGAAATATAAATATGAAGTCTTCCTCCTGCCCTCCAGTGACTTCCAGTGACTGTTGCACACATGAATGACTTCCCACTTCCTGTCCCCGTGTGGACGCACAGAGGACACACACTGTTTGGACATCATGTGTAGAAACCACAGCAAAGATGTGTGTCTGCCAGTATGACAGTGAGTCAGCACCGGGATGCTGAACTCTATCAGACGTGAAGTCTGGGGAGGACTGAGACATGTGAGTCCAGCCTGACACCCTGTGAGCGGCCAGACCCTGAGAGCTTGGATCAAACTGAGGTTAGTCTTCACTGCAGAATAAATCTGAGGACATTTTAACCTCACATCAATGGGGGAAGTTAATCCTCAGTCTCTGCTCATTTTCTGTCACACTATTCTGTTTAAACCTATCAGGAATAAGAATATTCAAACTCTTCTTTCCTACTGAGGAGAGGAACCAAAGAGCCATTTGTTATCCCTGAGCTTTGACATCATCACACGAGCGATCGTGGCTCAACAGTTGGCAGTTCGTCTTGTAATCAGAAGGTTCGAGCCCATTGTGTCCTTGGGCGAGACACTTCACCCGTTGCCTACTGGTGGTGGTCAGAGGTCAGAGGTCAGTGTCCGGCAGCCTCGCCTCTGTCACTGCGCCCCAGGGCAGCTGTGGCTACATGTAGCTGCCATCACCAGTGTGTGAATGTGTGCGTGACTGGGTGGATGACTGGATGTAGTGTAAAGCGCTGTACAAATACAGGCCATTTACCATTGAGTGTGGGGTAAACCGTATCCTCTCTGGTCAGCTGGTCCTGGTGCCTCCTGGACCAGCCAAGAACATGAGGTCAGGAGAAGACTGAGAGCGGTGAACCCCAGGCAAACTGCCGGTCTCGACAGCATCTCAGGGACTGGTTAAAGCCCGCACAGACCAGCTGGCCGTGATCCTCACTGGGCTGTTCAACATCTCCCTGACTCACGCCATGGTTCCCACCTGGCTGAAGGCCTCCACATCACTCCCATCCCCAAAAAGCCAGCATAGACAGCCTCAATGACTCATGAAGTGCTTCGAGCAGATAGTGCTCAGCACGTGAGAGACTGTCTACCCCCCTCCCTCAGCCCCCACCATGGAGGTGGATGCCATCACCGTCACCTTTCACAGAGCGCTGAGCCACGTGGAGAACATGAGGAGCTCTGTGACGATGCTCTGTGTGGACTGCAGCTCAGTGTTCAGGACCATAATCCCAAACTATCCCCCGTCACCTGCTCCTGGATCAAACACTTCCTCGCCCACTGGCCTAAATCAGTACGATTTGGCCCCCACCTCACCCCCCCTCTCAGCACCGGATCCCCACAGGGCTGCGTTCTCAGCCCCCTAGTCTACGCCCTGGACACCTATGTGCACACCAGCCCACCCAACCACTGTCATCAGTGAGTATGCTGCAGTTGGGCTCGTCTCTGATGGAGATGAGACAGTGTGGAGAACTTGTCCTGCTGGTGTTCAGAAAATAACCTGAAACCGAACGTCCTTAAAACCAAAGAACTCATCACAGACTTCAGGAGGCTCAGACAGCTGTGCCTTTCTATTATCTGGTATATGTTCCTCTAGACTCTATATATTTCTTCTGTTTGCTCTTTATTCCTGATGTTATACTATTCATATTTTTTTACTCCTGCACAGTTAGTGTGGAGCACCCAGAATTTTGATGTACATGTACAATGACATTAAAGGGCTATTCTATTCTATTCTATTCTATTCCACCATCATACATCATTGAACTCTTACAGCCCTATGCCCCTAGTAGGTCTCTGAGGTCTTGTGGTCAGGGCCTACTTGTTATTAAGTATACGAGACTGAAAACTAGGGGTGATCGAGCTTTTGCTACTGTGGCCGCCAGACTGTGGAATTCTCTTCCTCAGAACTTAAGATCTGGGAGATTCTGTCTCTCACAGTTGAAGTGTACCTCTGGTGCAAATTACTGACCTCTGTCATCATTTTAAGTGGGGGAACTTGCACAATCGGTGGCTGACTAAATACTTTTTTGCCCCACTGTACTGCTGAGTACTTTTGATACTAAACATATTGGGTTTTCATTTTGAAAACTAAATCAGACTCAATTGATTATGACAGAATTGAATCATAAAGATGATGTAAAAGGAAGCTGAAATTGCCACTAGGTTGTAATTGATAGTACGTTCATATTTCAAGTCTGTGGAAAGATGTCATTCTAAATAAAGAAATTACAAAACAGCTTGCAAACCATTTCCAGGGCGATTATTTTTAAATCCAAAACAAGAAAGACTTGATTTTCACAGTGTACAACTTTGAGGGAGTATATTATTGATTTAGAGAAAAATTAGTCCATGGGAACAGGGATTTTCCTATTTAACAGCATTCTGAAGTCACCGAAAAGTATGGTCACCAACTCCACTGTTAGATTATATGCAATGATATGTGTTGGCATAGAACTGGTATTAATTCATAGAAGCTGGAACTTTCCATTTAATGCCATTCTGAAGTTATGGAAAGAAGCTCCTATAAACAAAGTGAAATGCAAAACGAGATTGATTTGAGATTGAGATGTTACCACTGTAGAGGTTGTGTATGGTTTGCTTGAACTCCAGTTACTTAGTGGAAACAGTAATTGTCCTGTTAACAGCATCCGCGTTTAATTATTAAAAGTACCAAATAAACAATTATAATTACGATATTGACGTGATAAAACTGTGGGGTTGTATACTGTCAATGTAGAGTGAAATGATCTTGTGGAAACAGCAACTTTGCTTTTAATGGGATTCTGAAGTCAGTGAAAGAGTGGGTCATACATGGGCAATTTCAACGGGCCATTACTTTGAAAGGCAAAATCAACAACTTGAAATTACATGGTTACTGTCGGGTTGGATACTGTTGATCTAAAGTGAATTATCCGTGGAAACAGCAATTTCAATTTAAGAGCATTTTGAAATCGTTAAAAGAGTAGGTGTCTAGGGCAATTTGAAAAGTCTTTTATACTGGAAAGCAAAATCAGCCTGACTCAAAATGGATATGGTATCACTGTGGGGTTGTGATACTGTCAGTATAGACTGCGACTTGTCTGTGGAAACGTGAATTTTCCATTCTGAATTATTTGAAAGAGTGTTCAAAAATAAACATTCAGAGGGCTTTTACTTTGAAATCCAAAAGGAGATGGCTTTAATATTGACATGTTGCTACTAGAATACTAGGGTATGTCATTTGTATCCAACATTAGAGTGTGTCAAACAAGACTAATTGATATTTATGAATGTGCTCTTAATTTACTGGAAGTTGGCTTTTATTTAGAAGTCATGCTTCAGGATATTTTATTTTGAAATCAGGTTTCCACGTCTTTTGCCATAATACTTTGAATACACAGGGAACGTAAAACAAAGTGGAGGCTGGCTTGACACCAGTGAAACCTTTCAGTGTTGTGTCAGTGGCTTCACCTGTGCACACAGGTAACCTGCAGGTGTCAAGTACTGCTGGGACCTCTGATCTCAGTGTGTAGGTGAAGCGCGCTGTTTGTCCACTCTGTGTGAGTGTGTGTGGTGGACATTAGTGCTGCCGCAGCACTCTGTTGCATAACAGCT